GTAGTCTGCGCGGCGGTGGATTTAGCGCTGGAGCGCGCAGCGACAAAGAACGAAAAGATCATGGCAAGCTAACATTGATGAAAAGGAGTGGGCTGCTCGGAGAAACTCGAAAGCAGCCTCCTCCGGCCAGCGGTGGCGATGGCAAGCGCCATGCATGGCAAGGCTTCTTCGGAGAAGAAGAAGCAAGTCGACCCCTAACGCTTTGTCGGCGACTGTGGGAAGACGGGCCATTGACGCACGGGAGTGCCCAAATCACTGCGGAGAGAAGAAGGTGAGGCTCATCTGGCGCAAGCTGATGATGATGATGAGGCCACTATCCTGATGGCGATGTTCTGTGCACTGCACGACGTCGAGGCCGAGGAGAAGGAAGAGATGACGACGGTGGAAGGACCTGGGAAGGCCTTGAAGGTTGTCAACCTCGACGAACCGCTCGCCCAAGTCCACCTCGGACGTGTGGGCGCCGACCAGGAGCAGCGGTGGTACCTGGACTCTGGTGCCAGTAACCACATGACGGGCTTCAAGGCAACCTTCTCCAAGCTCGACGACGATGTTACCGGTACGGTGAAGTTTGGTGACAGCTCACGGGTGGCAATCCAAGGACGCAACACCATCATCTTCAGGTGCCAGAACGGGGAGTATCGCGCGCTAACGGATATATATTACATCCTGCAGCTGCGTTCCAGTATTATCAGCATTGGTCAGCTGGATGAGCGCGGTAGCGAGGTACTGATCAAGGACGGAGTCCTTAGGATCAGGGACCGAGAGCAGCGACTTCTCGCTAAGGTGAAGAGGTCCCTGAACCGGTTGTACCTGCTCGACCTGAAGGTAGAGCAGCCGGTGTGCCTGGTGGCAAGGCACACCGAGGAACCATGGATGTGGCATGTCCGGTTCGGACATCTCAGCTTCGACGCGCTTGGTCGGCTGGAGAGGATGGTCCGAGGGCTACCCCACATCAAGCATGGAGGCGAGCTGTGTGACAGCTGCCTGGCCGGGAAGCAGAGGAGGCTACCATTTCCAAAGACGGCCAAGTATAGCGCGAAGGACGCTCTCGAGCTCGTCCACGGCGACCTCTGCGGGCCGATCACACCAGCCACAAATGGTGGTCGGCGGTACTTCCTCCTGCTCGTGGACGATTGCAGTCGCTACATGTGGCTGCAACTCCTGACGAGCAAGGACGCAGCGACGACGGCGATCAAGAAGTTCAAGACGCGCGTGGAGGCCGAGAGCGGCAAGAAGCTCCGCACGCTGAGGACTGATTGCGGCGGCGATTTCACTTCGGTAGAGTTCGCTGCGTACTGCGCGGATCAGGGTGTGGTGCAACACCACACCGCGCCGTACTCGCCACGACAGAATGGCGTGGTGGAGAGGCGGAACCAGACGGTGGTTGGCATGGCTCGATCCATGATGAAGGCCAAAGGCATGCCGGCAAGGTTCTGGGGTGAGGCGGTGACCACGGCGGTGTTCATCTTCAACCGCGCTCCCACCAAGGCCCTAACGGGTAAGACGCCGTTCGAAGCTTGGTATGGGCGCAAGCCAATCGTGTCCTTCCTCCAGACATTCGGCTGCATCGGCTACGTCAGGAAGACAAAGCCGATCATCACCAAGCTGGAGGACAGGAGCACATCGATGGTGTTCCTAGGCTACGCGGAGGGTACCAAGACGTACCGGCTCTACGACCCACGCGGAGACAAGGTGCTTGTCTCGCGCGACGTCGTGTTCGACGAGAAGGCGGCTTGGGACTGGAGCAGTCCGAGCACGGGGGAAGCTGGCAGCTTCACTAGCACCTTCGTCGTTGAGCACTTGGTCATCCACGGTGGTGGAGACGCTAGGGAAGATGTGCCGAGCACTCCGAGGGGAGTGCCGAGCACTCCTGGGGCGGTGTCGAGCACTTCGGGAGGGATGCCGAGCACTCAAGGAGGAGTGCCGAGCACTCCTGGAGGGATGCCGAGCACGCCAGGAGTGGTGCCGGAGGTTCTGCAGTGGTGCCGACCACTCCAAGACTGAGGCTGAGCACTCCTACAGTGGTGCCGAGCACTGCAGGAGTAGTGATGAGCTGTCCAGATGTAGTGCCGAAACCTTTGCCAGCAAGCACTCCAGTCTTTGTCGAGCACTCCGGCGGAAACAGGAACTCCTTCAACATCGATTGAGTTCGCCTCACCTCCAAGTGACATCACTGAGTTCGTGGATGCCTTCCACGAAGGTGAGGAGGTCTTGATTCCAGGCCGGCGACACATCGTCGGCCGACACAGGCCCTCGAGCCTAGCCGGTCGGCCGCTCAATGATCAAGAGCTCAGCCGCCGTCGGCGTGAGAGAACCACCCACGTTCGCGCGGGCCGAACCGATGGAAATCGGCGACGAAGCGTCTTTGGAGGAGATGAAGGCGATCGAGGAAAACGAGACATGGCAGCTCGTCGATCCACCTCCATGATGCCGTCCGATCAGCATGAAGTGGGTGTACAAGGTCAAGCGGGACGAGCTCGGCGCCATTGTCAAGCACAAGGCGCGCCTCGTCGCCCGAGGCTTTGTTCAGCTCAAGGGCAAAGACTTCGAGGAGGTCTTTGCGCCAGTAGCGCGCATGGAGTCTGTCCGTTTGCTACTAGCCGTGGCAGCAGCAAAGGACTGGCGTGTCCATCACTTAGACGTTAAATCGGTCTTCCTCAACGGCGAGCTGGCGGAGACGGTCTTCGTCAGGCAACCTCCAGGTTTCGCCGTCAAGGGAGAGAAGCACAGGGTGCTCCGACTGCCCAAAGCGCTCTACGGGCTGCGGCAGGCCCCATGAGCATGGAACGCCAAGCTTGACGCCATGCTGGGCGAGCTTGGGTTCCAGCGGTGCGCAACCGAACACGCGCTCTACACGCAGCGATGGGGGAAGGAGGAGCTTGGCGGCGGCGTGTATGTGGACGACTTGATCGTCACCGGCAGCGCGCACGGAGGACATCAACAGCTTCAAGCGCGAGATGGCGGCTCGTTTTCGAATGAGCGATCTCGGCGCACTCTCCTACTACCTCGGCGTCGAGGTGAGGCGAAGGAAGGAGGAACTCACGCTCGGTCGAGCGCGTGTGCCTCGAAGTCTGTTGGGCGGAGCGGCATGGCTGAAGTGCAAGCCATGCGTGACTCCGATGGAGGAGCGGGCCGTCGACAAAGGCCAACACCGCGGCGAAGATGGATGCAACACTCTCACCGTAGCATCGCCGGGGCGATCTGCGCTACCTAGTCCACACAAGGCGGACATTGCGTTCGCCGTGGGCTCGTCGATCGCTTCATGGAGGATCCCGAGAGAGGATCACTGGGCTGCGGTGAAGCGGCTCTTGCGCTTCGTCAAGGGGACGGTGGATCGAGGATCATCTTCCCCAAGACCGCGCGGAGTTGGCTGCGACTCACTCGTGTTCGGCCGATGCAAACATGGCGGGGACATCGACATCGACGACGACGGAGCACCTCCGGCGTGCTCGTCTTCCTCGGGTCGGCTCCGATTTCATGGTCGTCGGCCGAAATGCGAAAGGTGGTGGCGCTATCTATGTGCGAGGCGAGTACGTGGCGGCGGCGCCACAATGGCGTGCGTTGTTGTGTGGCTACGCCGGTTGCTAAGCGAAATGACCGGTGTGAAGCTCACCCACCGCACGATGGTGGACAACCAGCCCGTCGCCGCCTCGCGAAGAATCCGGTTCTGCACGGCCGGAGCAAACACATCGATGTGAAGTTACACTTCCTCGTGGATCGTATGTCGATGGAGGCGAGATCGTCATCGAGTTCGTCGAACCGGGTCGGCAACTCGCAGACGTCTTCACCAAGCCGCTTTCGGACGTCTTCGACTCACGGAGTGAAGGAGATGATCGGCATGGAGGGGTACAAGGATAGCGATAGGATTAGGGAATAATTGTTAGATAATCTATCGCTTCCTTGTGTGAACACACAAGAAGGGAATGCGGAGCCGAAAAAGGCTCCTGTTGTGTCTTCAGTAGCCGCTCTGAGGCAGGCGCCCGAACGGCTCACCTGCCGACTTGTAGCCACATGCGAGACACAGCGCAGGTCGGGCCTCTTGCTATGTTATCTAGTCACCAGAGCAAAGCATGACAAATTGTACTAGGACTAGATGGATAGAGTTGTATAAATAGACTGTCACTGCAACTCAGTAAAGAGAGTTCAGATTTACCATCTCCTATACAGGGCTCCGGCCAACACTTGTGTGTGTATGCTCTGTTCTCCCTCTTCTTCTACCTCTAGCTATAGTGGGTGTGGTCGGACAGCCTCGGTCGTGCTCGGCCGTGGTTGGCAAGACTGGTGAGTGGTCGACTCACCTGATGAGCCGGTGATCCTGTGAGCTAACACCCTTTTCCCCAGTTCCACTTGATCTTTCATTGTTCAAAGCACATCTGAACAAGATATCATGTAATCTTCTAAGTTGGGTTTGGAGCTCTTCCTTAAGTCATCTTCTAAATGATAGATGGCAGTTCTTCCCATATACTTCATGTAGTGAACAAATTGATCATTAAAAATTCTTGGGAGCTTGTCCTTCAGGGACACAGTTCCACACCACACATCAGACCAGAAATCAGTGGATTTTCCCTTTCCTATCACCATATTTCTACCTTTTAAGTAAACATCTTTCACTTTGAGCAGATCATTCCACAAGGGAAAATTACGGGGGCTATATTTCAAATGTGGCAAACAATTTGTTTTGTATATTTCTGTTTGACAATTTCTTGCCAAATTCCACCTTCAGTTTCTAACTTCCACCACCATTTACACAACAAGGTGATATTCATTCTTCTCAGATCATGCACACCCATACCACCTTTTCTTTTTTGGTCTGATTATCTTGGCCCATTTAACCAAGTGATATTTCTAAATTATTTTCCCCCTTGCAAGAAAAATATTTTACTTGTTTTATCCATTCTTTTAATGATGGTTTTGGCCTTTTAGGAAGTAAATGCATGGAAATATGATAGGTTGGCAAACTGCTCATACTGGAGTTGAGCGAAATTGATCTACCACCCCCGATGGTTAAGGCACCCATCTAGTTTTTTGTCATCTTTTCACAATAATTTAAGTATTGGGTTTACCTTTTTGCCTTGGTGCCAAACTAAGTTTGTGGGCTTAAGTCGTGGTCGGGCTCATTTGTAATAGGCGCGTGTTGGTTTTGAATGACCTGGTGTGGGTGGGTGGTGTGTGTTTGTAAGGGCTCTTCCCCTTTTTTCATCTTAATATAATGATGCGCAGCTCTCCTGTGTGTTCGAGAAAAAAAGTATTGGGTTCAGTACCTTTGTTTCAGTTTTGATCTCTCTCTTGCTCTATGACATTTGTGTGCTTAGGCACGCATTTGTGAATGTCGTTTCTTATTTCACTGAACTGTGATATCTGATTACTGATTTTTGATGACATGAATCACTTTTGCAGAGATCCATACCGTCCTCTTTGGGAGCTAACTACTGCTCCAAAGGCTGTCTTAAGTCTTCATTGGCTAAAGGATGGAAGGTAATACTTAGTTCCAATATAGAGTACATCAATTTGTTTCAAAAATAGAGTACATCAATAAATAAAACAATTTGGTACAAAATTTGCTTTTCTTTTTATTTGTCTTTGCTCTCTATGTGCACTGATCGCATTTAGCTTGTTTTTCCGCTTAGTTAAATGCAGGTCATTGTTGAAAACTAAACTGCAGTTGAAATAGATTGCAAAATGGATTTATTTGTTTCATGATGTTGCAATAGATGGGTGTTAGCTTGCTAAAGCATCTTCCGGTCTAGATAACTAGTTTTCTTGACACTTGTCAGTGTATTATAACCTTTTGAGATTGGATTGTTTACATGTTCTTAAACAACCTTTTCACGCCCATGCATGCACCTTATATTATCATCCAACCTGCTCCCTTTGTTGGACAGGAACTTAAAATTCTTCCAAGTTGTTGACCTAACTCACAGATCACAAGATCGCTAACTGTTGTCCATGGACAAAATATAATGTGATTACATAAAGTTCATTGTTTGTATTTTTTTCGCTTCGTGTGAATTCAGGAATCTGGGTGAATCATCATCTAATGTTTATTCCTGTATCGCATGCAAGCATCTGATAGCCTAGTTAGCATGTTTTATTGTTTGATGTAGTAGGGCATCTTTGTATTCAATGCCGTAGGACAGAGAGCATTGTATTTCTTCCTTAGGTATGGGCATTGTAGTTTGCTTGAAAAAAAACATACAAGGTACTTAGCCTACTCTTGTTGTTTTATGTTACCCGTTTCGGATTTGAATTGGCCAGCAAGCATTTTTTTTATCTGGAGAAACACCTTATTAGACATAGGGAGTCCATATAGGCATATAGCACTTGGTCAGAATTCGGAAGCAACATTAAAGAATGGCATATTAAAAGTTGTTTACCCACATCCTGATCACATTTCTGTTTATATGCACAGGCTACTGATCTTTTCCCTTCCGTTATTACTAGAATCATGATGCTAATGTTATATTTATGATCAATTGTTTTCAGGGGGATTGTTATCTCACTGGAAGATGGTACATTGAAGTTTCTAAGCTTGCCTCGGATTGCAAATGATGTTCCAGCCACTGGAAGGCCATTTGCCGGAACAAAAACTCTGGGTGTTGTAACTTATCAGTTGTCAGAATATTTGATTTGGAGTGTCCATGCCTCAGAACCTACAGGTGTGTTTCAGTATCATGTCTCCCATAGCCACTGTCCATATCCTGCCCAATGGTACTGAGTACCGAGTAGCAAAGTTCCTATGTAGCAGCAGTCACTTTGGAGTCTAAAATCCAATGAAGGGAGAGGTTGTCGTGTAAAATAACCAATAACTTAAAATATTGATATCACATGTTTGATCTAAATTTCAAAGATGGACTTGGTGCTAAAAGAAACTTAAGCAGATCTTCCTGCAGAACTCTGCTAGTAGTAATTAGTGGTTTCGTTTCCCATGAAATTATTATTTTGCAATTTGATAGTTGATACATAGTTCAATGGATGATAGTGGAGTCAACTGTCTGTACTTTTTTACATAATAGGCATAACACCCTAACTTGAATCATTAAGACAGCAGAGAAAATTTATTACAAAGTCTGAAAAGTGTTGTATGAAACAGAAAAAAAAGAGAGAGCTGGGATTAGTAGTTTACATGAGAAAAATAATCACATCATGAAAGTATCTATCTTAAGTGACATCACTACCAGACATAAAAGTGGATGCAGTTTTTAGATTTGTCTGATCGATCCCTACCAGTTTATTAATATACACTGCCTCCAATCGCTTCCAAAACAGTGGCAACTTTTCTTCTTTTTAGTATCAGTCCGAGATCGTTTCCTGATTATGCACTAACTTCTGCTTTGCCTCAAGGTGTCAAATGCTTGTAGTGGTCCTTAAATTCATAATATTTGTTTGCTGATGTCCAGGTTGTGTGGCTTACTGTGGGGCAGATGGTACCGCCGTGTACTTCCAGGTGAACTTTCTAGTTGATATCATGAACAACATTTCTCGTCATTCTGCGTTGCAGTGCTCTAAACAAATATTCAACTTGCTGTAGCTTAATTCGAGATTCTGGGATAAGGAACCTGGGAGTAACCGTTTTCCTTATTTCCTCTCTGGATCATTATCAGAGGGAGAAAATATTAAGATTGGCAGCAGGCTGCAAACGTCCCCATTACCAAATGTTCCTGTGGTGACCAAAAAGGGTTCAAAACCATGCCAAAATATAGTTCAGGCGCTCGCTACAAGCGTTGTCACCGGCCTGCTGACATGTCAGCTCAACTCCCCCACAGGAAACAGTGACGTTGTAAATCGAGAAGTTCATGATGATCAAGATGATGGGCGCAGCGAAGAGCAAGGAGCAGGCGCTGTAAATCAAGAATTTGAGGGTGATCAAGATGATGGACACAGTGAAGAACAAGCAGCAGGCATGGCAAACACAGAATTTGGCGACGATAAAGACGATGGACACAGCGAAGAACAGGGAGCCGGTGCAATAATTTCAGCCAGTCCTACAAAGGAGGAGAATGATGGAACATGGAACAGCAAGGGTGGTGAATCCCCTAAAGAACTTAAAGTCATCCCTCCGAATTCTGTTGCTTTGCATCGAGTGCGATGGAACATGAACAAGGGTAGCGAGAGATGGCTGTGCTATGGAGGTGCTGCAGGCATCATACGATGCCAGAGGATCTGAAGAGCGCAATCTGGAATGCTCCTCGAGAAACAGAGGCTTGTAACACAGATGGTGGTAGGTTCTACTCTATTCTTTTGTGCTACTTTTGACCGGGTGACCGAGGGTGGTTGGCTTAGCTATGCATAACTATAGAAGAGAGCCGATGCAATAGACCTTTGCATCTTAGAATTGAAGCCCTCAGGTTCTGAATACATTGGGTATGAAAGTCTGCCAGTCTGGGTCTGATAGTTGCGGTAGTACCAGTGCATGCGAACCTTAGGTTTAAAATAAGCCCGTTGGCATTCGGGAGGATGTGAACAGAACTTGATTTCCTGATGCATTCGGGAGGAAATAATAAATGCCATAGTGCTCGAGATTCTGGTTTCCTGATGTAGTTCATGGACGCTGACACGCTATTCTACTGAGTTTCGTGATGTGATCATGTGGTTCATGGGCGCTGACACAATATTCTACACTCGGCTTCATTTCGTAGCGAAGTTAATTGAATTATATCCCATCAGGACAATCGAGTCTTCTGAGCTTAGCGTTTACTCCAATAGATCCTGTTTTCATTTCAGACTAATGTTCTTGTCAGACTATAATAAACCAACATGTTCTTGTTGTCAACAGTATAGGATGACGCTTATGACTTAACAGTATAGGATGACTAATTAGACTATAATAAACCAACATGTTCTTGTTGTCAACAGAGCTCACCCAATTTTGTGCCTACCAGCACAACGGGCACCCCAGGTGCATAATGTTGAAGCTCCGGTATCCACTGAAGAGTAAAGAGCAAAGAGCAAAGGATAAATATTCAATCCTCTAGGAAATTTCATATCATGAACTGTAAGAACAAATTTTAAGAAAGTAAAGGAACAAGATAGCGCATTTCAGCACCTTCTTCATGATATTCTCATAGCTAGCTCGGCTCACAAGTCACAAGTGAGAATGCAAGCACGAAAACATCGCCACCTTTAGAGGGCTCAGCCGGTTGTAATCTTCCTGCCCTGCGAAGGATGTGATCATGTGAACTTTTGAGTTACCCCAAGAATCCTGATTCCTCTAAAAGCAGACTTTTCGACTTCGATTTGCTGCTGAGTAGAACAAAACATAAAAACATTAAAAATTACCAGCGGTATCCCAAAGACCCAAATTCACCTTGGTGCCATCCACAACTACATTTGCACTGAAACGGGCGTGGGCGCCGCGCGGCCCCGACCGCGCGTGGCGCGAGGCGCGAGCAGAGGGCGGGCGCGGTGGCGGCGAGCAGGGTGCCTGGCTCTGGCAGCGACGCGACTGAATGCCCACTTCTGAGGACTAGTCGAGAGAGTACAAACAACTACAGCGACCAATTCGACAAATCCTGCTCTTCCCCTACTCACACTGCACAAATTTATCCCCTCTTCACGCTTACGCCCCACCCGCAGGCCGCAGCCATCCCCACCGTATCCTCGGCTCCCCTGCGCCCAGGGTTTAACCAACAGCAAACGCCGCGCCTCTCGAAGCATGTCACCGCCGCGGTCGCTCAAGCACCTGCCCCCGGCAACCGCCGCCGCGGCCTCTCCGCGCGCGGTCGCCACCCCGAGAGCCACCGGGATTCGCAGCGCCTGTGCACTCCCGACTCGGCGCCTCTGGTGCTCAGCCTCCGCCGCCGTGGCCAGAGCTTCCACCGAGGTGACGACGCACGCCTCCCCACGTGGAACTTCCCGGGATCCAGCTAGTGAGGTATTGGTTGCTTGTGACTTACGGGTTGTGCCGTGTTGTTCAGATGGCTGATGCTCCGCTGGACTGGGCGGAGAGGTCGCTGGAGGAGTTGCGTAGCTTGCCGGACCACGACACGTTCTGCCTGATGGCGCTCTCGCCGCTGGACGGGCGGTACGATCGCTTCGTCAAGGAGCTGATGCCCGTCTTCAGCGAGTTCGGCCTAATCAGATACCGCGTTCTAATCGAGGTATCTGACATCTGGGACAGTTTGAGCTCCTTGCAAACACTGTATCTGCCTACAGTTTTTGATTGGAGATTGGACGCTTGAGATCCTGTTCTGGTGTTACTGTCAATGTTGCTTAGCTGACGTGCCTTTCTTGTTCTTCAGATCAAGTGGCTACTGAAACTTTCTCAAATTCCTGAGATCACTGAGGTGCCTCAGTTCAGCAAGGAAGCCCAGGCCTTCTTGAATGCTATTATCGAGAATTTTTGCATTGATGATGCAAAAGAAGTAAAGAAAATTGAGAAAGTAACCAACCATGATGTGAAAGCCGTCGAGTACTTTCTGAAGCAAAGGTGCAGCTCAAATCCAGAGATTGCTAAGGTTGCAACTAGGATCCTAATGTGTACAGGAGTAATTATTTCTGGTTAGACTTAAGCTGGGTGGCATCTTGAACCTGTTTCCAGGTGTCGGAGTTCTTCCATTTTGGTTGTACCTCTGAAGATATCAACAATTTGTCACATGCATTGGCTCTGAAAGAGGGGGTAAATAGAGTTATGTTCCCTGCCATGATCAACATATGCAGAGCATTGTGTTCCTTGGCAACACAAAATTCAGGCTACCCTATGTTGGCTCGAACTCATGGGCAGGTATGACTTATGAAGCCACCTTCACCACAATATTTTATTACACTGTTATACAGCAAGAACAAGAGGATTTGTATACCCTTTGTTTGAAGCATAGCTTCTCCATAGACAGCTCTCAAAGGCCTTCTATGTGAGATATACGATATAAAGTAATTACTTATCGGGGCTTAATGTTTTGTAAGTTTGCCTGGTTGATGCAGCAAGGTGATTTTGAGTGATAGTAAATTGATAAGTTCATAATGAAAAGAATGGAATTGAATGATTGATCAACTCATTCAGCTATTTCCAAGGCAACATGGGTGGAGGAAATAACAAACCTGCATTATTTATCAACATAGTCTAGGAAATTTAAAAAGATTATTATACTGTTCTTGCAGATAATCTTCAACCTTTCCATTTGTACAGGAAAAGGGGGGGAAATACCTCTATAAGTAAAAAATTGTTCTTCAGCAGTGTTGCATTGTGGAGTACAGCTCAGTAACTCTTTCGATGCAATAGTGAACACAATTGTCTTGCTCAATTGCTTGTATGTTAGTGGAATGCACTTGCTTTGCCAAGAAAAACTTGATTTGGAACCCTGTCTTAAACTGTTTTCAATTCCTGCTTGTAGCCAGCATCACCAACAACCGTGGGAAAGGAGATGGCAAACTTTGCGGCCAGATTATCTGATATAGGAAAGAGTTTCTCGGAGGTGAAGATACTAGGGAAATTTGCTGGTGCTGTTGGCAATTACAATGCTGATGTGGTTGCATATCCTGAATTTGATTGGCCTAAGGTGGCAGAAGAGTTCGTTAGATCCTTGGGTTTGCAGTTTAATCCCTACGTTACTCAGGTGATCTATATTCTTTGTTTGACATTTGGTTTCTTCTCTGGTCTTCTATGTTGCACAATTAGGGAGGCTTCTCAAATTCTCGGGTGATCATAACCATCAATGTTGTTGGTTCTGATGCAGTTTTATCCCTTTTACAGATTGAGCCTCATGACTACATATCAAAGCTCTTCAATCTATTCACCCAGTTCAACAATGTGTTGACTGATTTTGATAGAGACATGTGATCCTATATATCATTAGGCTACTTCAAGCAGGTAAACTAAAGGGTTGACACCATAGTTTGGGAGTATTAAACTTGTACTGCAAGGAAACAAATTGATGGTATTGATTTTTATCTCCCATATTAACTTGCAACATCTTTCAAAATTCTTTTTTCAGATACCAAAGGCTGGTGAAGTTGGTTCTTCCACTATGCCTCATAAAATCAACCCCATTGATTTTGAAAATAGTGATGGCAATTTATGTCAGGCGAATTCTATATTATCTGGTATAAGCATGAAACTGCCAATATCCCGGTTGCAGGTATTGTTGCTAATTCAATTTTATGCCTCAATTTCATTTTTTCTAACATGAGGTGTCAGGATGAAAATCTGGTGTCTGTATTCATGATACCTATGCGAGATTGGATCATAAATTATACTTACCATCTCATTAGTATATATGTATACTGATGAACCACAATGTTGTATCATTGACAGCGTGACCTGACAGACTCAACTGTTTTGAGAAACTTGGGTATGGGATTAGGTCATTCTCTATTGGCTTACAAAGCTACCATGCGTGGAATCAGCAAGGTTCAGGTAGGTGGCCCAGAGCTTGTCCTTTGTCTCATTACAGATGATATAGTTGTACCTTCAATATGGTTGATGCATGTTTAATTTTTAGCTTATGATTATTAAGTACTTGCAGAATGCTTGATGATCAAGCAGATAGACCTACCTCACCACTTGCTCTTTTCATAAGTTTTGGCCTGACAGGGGAAAAATACACTATAAATTAGTGGTGACTGCTAGGCGTAGGCGTTTACCCAACTAAAAGTTCACACCACTCAAACCAGCTGAGGATAACTTAGTAGGATAAGGATGTTCCTTTGTGCAGTGCCCAACTGCACATACTTGCACCCTTGGACCATTGCATGGGAATATCAGACGTTTACTCTTCTTTACTATTGACCTGAGACATGCATTTTAGGTAATTATGATCAGGCTAGAACTTCTATGCTGAATTGGTGCCTATACAGGTGAATGAATCACGTTTAGCTGAAGACTTGGAGCAAACTTGGGAGGTCCTTGCTGAGCCAATACAGACAGTAAGGCATCTGTTTTCTTCTGTCCATTTCCCCTTGAATTCTGTTCTGGTTGCTGTCAGAAAGTGCTTATTGTGTGCGCATCAGGCATGTATCACGTTACTGTTATTACTCTTTGTAGGTGATGCGAAGATATGGAATACCCGAACCTTATGAGAAGCTGAAGAAACTGACGAGAGGCCAAGCTGTCACGAAGGACAGCATGCAACAATTCATTGATGGTCTAGACATACCGGAGGAGGTTCGATCAAAGCTTTCGCAGCTAACCCCGCATTCGTATACTGGGCTAGCGGAGGATTTAGCCAGAGACATCGAGAAGTGGGTTGATCTTGAATCTGGATTTCAAATCAAGTGAGTTTCCATTAAAAAATGGATACCTCTCCACATTTTTTTCTTTTTGACAACGATGGAGAAAAAAAATAACAGACGGGAACCCTAGAAAACGGAAGTTCAATGCTGCGTGGGCGTGGCCTTGAATTGTTGACCAAGATAATTTATGTGGTTCTCATTTATGATATTTTCGGCACATGTAAAATGCGCCTCTAGGAATTATGCTAGCTGTATCTTGACGGAAAATTATGGAGCTAAAAATGTTGCTTGCTCGAGTTCTTGTAAGTACGGAGTTGTTTTGCAACGCCTAGTGCGGCAAGCTAAAAATGCTTATATCATGCTATTTTTATTTAGTTGCTGGCTTGCCGCATACAATAATAAAACAAACAGTTTCTCTTTCGAAGTGAAGAAAGCATACTTTCTGTTAAGTAGCTTTGTTGAGGTCTTGTGGGATGTAAATCTGCTGTGCCGCTTCGAAGCTACAGCAATTCCGCAGAGGCCCTGCAATGATATTTTCGATTTTCGGAACAAAAGCAGACATTGGTTATCGGAAACACTGAAATGATGCAAATGCAGACTTGGTTGTCGTTAGATACTCACATTGGTTCCACACGCATTGATTCGTATACAAAGCAATAATAGGCTTTGGTTATCGTTAGCTATACTCGCATTGGTTCCATACGCATTGATTCGATGAAAAGCAAATGATGCTCGATAGCGACGGAAAAGTAGGTTTACGAACTTACCAGCGAGCGAGGCAGCCACCCGTTCGGAATTGACACCAGCGGTTGTTTGTGCCCCTGAAACGGCGTTTCATCCATCCTTATCCGGGCCCGTCCAGCACCCAGTCACCCACTACCAGCCTCCGGGAGGATTTTCTTTGCTTGCCGGCGACAAACACAGCGAATGTTGGCCGGGCTCTCTCTGGTAGCGGTAGGGGAGATACGGCATTGCTGCCAACGCCGCGACCCACGAGACGAGAGCAGCCAGCAGCGGCGTCTCTTCTTCGACTCTTTTCCTAGTTCGCTTGGCGCCGTGGGACTGGGAGTCTGGGACCACGGCTCCTGTGGGTTCGGCTGGGAGCATGATTGCTGCTGGGCGCTGGCTGGCAGCTGGGCGTGGTTGCTGTGCAACCTACGGCTAGTTAATACAATTTTGACTAAATTTATATAAAAAACTACTAACATTTATGATATAAAATAAACATCATTAAATTAGTTATATAATATATTTTTATAATAAATTAAATTTGATTTGATTTGCACAAAAAGATAAAACTATTTACCGTAAATTTGATCGATTTTAGCTAATTTGATTGAGGGAGTAGTACTCTCTTTGTCCAGAAAAAAATTCTTGTACAATTTTGACTAAATTTATATAAAAAAACTACTAACATTCATGATATAAAATAAACACCATTAAATTATTTATAGAATATATTTTTATAATAAATTTATTTGACACATAAATGCTAAAACTATTTACCGTAAATTTAGTCAATTTGAGCTAAATTGACCGGCGTGGATCCTATAATTGTATTCTTTTGTGGACGGAATTAGTAGTAGACTGACCCGATGATTTTGGCAGGAACACGAATGCAACGCTAGTCGTGTGTAAAGACTGACATTTGAAGTTGGCCCTTTGCATCTACTTCTAGATAAATATACACAAAAATCGAAACCACGATTTACTTGAGTAGACCTTATTTAGATACGTATGTTTTCATCTCAATTTAAATGGGTTGAAGTAGACTAGTGTGAAATTAAATTAAATTATATTCCATTTAAGCCGTAGCGGCAAAATACCGGGAGAGAGAAGGTGTAGGTTTCCATGTGCATTGCAGCCGTCAGCCCCCTCTGAGTCGTTCTCGCGCCAACCAAAGGGATGGCTCCTCTCCCCCGCAGCCAAGGAGAAAATTGTAATTATAGGACGCGAAACAATGCGTTTCGTTATTATACGACTCTAAACATCAACTTCGCTAAAACGATCCTTGAAACGTTGGCACTTTGTTATACATGACATTTGATTTTTTAATCACTTTTCTCAACTAAAATACATGTATTTTGCCATGATGTGACCGTATTTCCCTTCTTACTTTCGTGCCTCCTCGCTATGTCGAGGATCAGTAACCAGACTTCTTGATCCAGCTTTTGTATCTCCCAGTTTCTCTTGGTAGGCAAGTATTTCCTGCAATAGAACAAGATTAATAACCAGTCAAGGTGTTCATTTCCATTGCATTCGTGGACATAGCGAGGAGGCACGAAGAAGAACACGACCCGCCGACGACATCATCTGCGAGCAACGGCGACGACCTCCTGCGTTCCATCGTCGAGGGCGCCAAGGCCGCCGCCAGCGCTTTCAGTCCCTGCACGGCTGAGGACTTCATCGTGGACAACTGCAAGAACATCTACTTCGCGGGGCACGAGACGACGTCGACCACCGCCGCCTGGTGCCTGATGCTCCTCGCCGCGCACCCGGAGTGGCAGTCCCGCGCACGCGCGCCGAGGTCCTGGAGGTTCGCCACCATCAGGGACAAAAGCCGGTGGACGCGGACACGCTCCGGAAGCTGAAGACGATGACGATGGTGGTGCAGGAGATGCTCCGGCTGTACCTCAACGATATAAAAGTCAAAAGGGTAATACGGTCACATCATGGCAAAATATATGTATTTTAGTTGAGAAAAATGATTAAAAGACCAAATATTATGTATAATAAAGTACCAACGTTTTAAAAGTTATTTTAGCAAAGTCGATGTATGAAGTCTAGTGCACGTTGTTTCGCGTCCTATAATTGCATTTTTCTAGCAGCCTAGGGTTCCCCTCTCGTCTCCCATCGGATCAGTGAGCACGTCCTGCCAAGATCTCCCCTCGCCGCGCTCTCCCGATGGCGAACAGCGACGAGCTCGCCCAGATCGACATCTCCAAGGAGGTACGCACGTCATTCCGCGTCGATCCTCATGCACTGCGGAACGCCTGCCCGCAAGGTGCTCGATGGTTTGTCTGACCCACCGGTCCTGCAGGAGAAGGACAAGCTGGTGGCGGAGGTGATGCGCTACGTGCTTTTCAAGACGCGCCAGAACTCTGACTGCCCCATCAAGCGGGAGGAGCTCACCGGGATCGTCACCAAGAACTACCGCCAGCGCGCCCTGCCCACGCTCGTCATCAACGAGGCCAAGGACAGGCTCGCCGTCACAGCCGCAGCGTACCTTCGGCTTTTCGAGATCGAAATCCTCTGCATGAAAAAATTTAAAAATTTCAATGCCAGCTACAGAGGACCCGCGCGCTTTTCTGGCCACGCGCTCTGGCTGACGTGGTCAAAGCTGTAGGTGTGAAAAGGCGCCGTTCAAATATGTTATTAATTTTTTTGAGCATCTTAACGACTTCAAATTAAAAACTCAAAACTAGAAAGTTGTAGATCTGTCGAGATCTATAATTTTCATATAAAATTTATTTTCATTTAATTCCGTAAAAAAATAAATGTAAGGCGTCCTTATTTTCTTTCTTCCCATTTATTATTATTTTCGTCTTCCCATTTATTATTTTTTTTTGTTCCTTTCCTCTGCATCTGTCATCACAGTGGTTACGGGCTGGCAATGACTGATGAAATCCGTGGGAAATGTCTTTAGTTAACGTGGAGGCCAAGAGCTATGTTCTGGTCAGCAACTTAGACCCTGAGGTGTACAGCAAGTACGTTGAGGACAAGGGCGCTGCCCATCTGTCTGGCTTTGCTTTCGCTGTCATTTGCACTATTCATCTTGCTGGTGGCAAAATGCCTGAAGGTTAGGAAAGGAGATCAAATTATGTATTTTGGTTGGGAAACATCGTCCTCTGATGTTCCTAAGTGCTTTCGATCACATTTCAGCACCTTGGCATCAGTTGAAGCGGGTGGGGGGGGTGAATGAGAATGATGAAACTCACCCTGTTCTTGGTAACAAGAAGCTCGAACACCTAGTGCAGCAAAGGTTGGTTTGGTGTGTGGTGTGGAGTCTATAGTTTACTGCAAATAATTTGGTTGCTGTATCAGTTCCCTTGATGCAGGTACCTGCTGAAGGAGAAAGTTGTTGGACCAGAAGGCCATTTCATGATGTATGAACTTGTTGAGAGGGCATTGGATGAATCCATCAGTGCGAAGATTAAAGATCATATTTCACAGGTTTGTAAGCATCACAATGTGGTGATAGCGTTACACCTTTCAGTCTGTTAAAAGTACTGACTTTTCCACGGTAACAGCAAAGGCGATAATGTGTCAGGATATATAAATAACAGTCATACAAACCTTCATGCTTAAAAGTGATCCCACTTGCTTGTACCATTAACTGTGTATAATGCATGTTTATTTTTGAACCAACCCAAAGGATTTTATATAGTGTCATTACTCATGATTAAGATTGCTATGCCTTCTGAATTTCTTGCTTTCCTATCATTGGAGAAGTTAGTTGGCATTAATTTTCCTTAGCCTGTTAGCCATATGTATGTCCAGGAGGTTGCTTGTTTTCTGCTTCTAGTGCCTAGTAGTGCACGTGTATTTGTTCCATAAGTCTTTGAAAGATGAATAAAAACTGCAAGCAATTGCGGATCAAAATTTTATTTCACTTCCGATAACAAGCATCAAAGAAGCAATCATCAGTAGGGAAGTTGACATCCTGAATGCATTGGTAGACACTGAAATCAGGTTCTAATGAGACCATGCTTGTGAAAGAAGTATCCTTTTTTTCTTCTTATATTGTGAAATGTGAAATAACATTGTGTGGTGTCTGCTAAAAAGAAACCTCCTCTTCTTTATTTGTTCTTATTGTTGCGTAGGTTGTGGGCGCAAGCTTGCAGAAGTAGATCGAAGTGGATGGATATGACAATCAGTAGGTATTTCTGCTGCATCAGATATTTACTTGTTTCTAGATCAAAGTATCACTCCGTGTCCATTTCCTTCTAGGAAAATAATAAAGGTACTACTAGTAACATGTTTCTCTTATCTTATCTCTCAGCCTTGTAGGTTATCTGCCTTTGTGTTAGGACAAGCTGACTCTCTCAGGCTGGGAAGCTATCTATCATCTTGCATGGATAAGAGGCTTGTACTCTGCATGCAATTTTGTACAGGAGACGTGTGCTTCACAAGCCGTGACAACTTTGGTGTTAGTATCCTTCAAATTAACAAAATTATGTGGACGACATGCTGGCCCAAAAACCGGCCCGTTATATAGTTATACAAGGTGTTTGGTTACATATCATCACACAGGTGGTGATGATAGTTGTTTGTCAAAATCAAGTATGAGCACTAGTCATCCATTTCTTGCTGATTCGAAAACCTGACACCACTGATCAACAATTGGCCTTTTCCTTCTTGGAAATCTGTATCGACATTGCTCTGCCGATGCTTTGCAGGCTGCGAATACTTGTGTGATGTTGTGCCTTTCTTCTCTGAATACCGTTGCATTTCTTGCCTTCCACAGCATGCTTGATACTACTACCTTTTGCAGTGACCTAATTGATGTCACAAAACAGTCAGCATATGTTTCCATCGTATTGTGAGTCATTGGATGTGTCGTCCTCTCTCCTGTCTACCAGGGCTTTCACCTTTCAGTGACCTGACCACAATGTAGCCAAACGTGTAGCGCTGTCTACCAGAGGTTTCTCTGGTAAATTGGTAATCCATATACACGCGAGGCGACTAACGCAGCACGCATGCCCGCATAGTTCACCGGTACGGTGGAGGAATAATATATGTCCCCATTCCCTTGGACTTGCATGTTCCCCGCCCTCTAAGGAGCAGGGACTAGAAGAGTTCTTAAGCTATTGGTTCATTTACGGGAACGTGACTGCATGCCTACAATAACAACCAACAATCTTTTAAGTCCTAAACAAGTTAGTCTAGATTTGAAACCCAACATAATCAATCAAAGTTCACACACATGAATAGTTGTTTTTCAAGCACTTTTATCTAAGGCTAAGTCTTTGGGTATATTTTATCTTTTCAAGTCTCCTTTTATTGTCTCTACACAAGTCAACTTCGATATTTCTCTACCTCTCTTCACATTACTATCCCGGCCTAGGATTACACTACGCACCGATGTCTCTGAAGGTCTCCGTTGGACATGTCCAAATCATCTCAACCGATGTTCGACAAGCTTTTCTTCAATTGGTGCTACCCCTAATCTATCACGTATATCATCGTTCCGAACTCGATCCCTTCTTGTGTGATCATAAATTCAACGCAACATACGCATTTCCGCGACACTTATCTGTTGAACATGTCGTCTTTTCGTAGGCTAACATTCTACACCATACAACATAGCAGGTCTAATCGTCGTCCTATAAAACTTGTCTTTTAGCTTTTGTGGTACCATTTTGTCACATAGGACACCAGATGCTTGGCGCCACTTTATCCACCCTGAAAGGGACCATGACGCCTAAGAGGGGGGGGATTATGTAACTTAAAACTCTAACTCTAAACTATAGCCTCTTTTTCACCTAGTCAAAACCTATACAAAAGATAAACTATCTAAATGTGTAGCTACGGTTTTGCTAGTGTGTTGCTATCTCTACCGCTAAAGGAGTTATGTGAACAATGTAAATGACGGAAGCTAAAGAGTAAGGTAGAGATATGCAAACTCCCATCGATGACTCTCGGTATTTTTACCAAGAGATATCGAGAAACACACAAGCCCCCTAGTCCTCGTTAGAGCCCCTCGCAAGGAATCTCTCGCAAGGGCTCAAGCTCCCGGTCGGGTAACTCTGTGGATAGCTCCGGCCTTTCCCACGCGTAAGTGGGTCTTTGGTGTGCCTTCCGGCAAGCCTCTTCCGGACCGCTCCCCGTCGTCTTCACTATCAAGCTTTCGACTGAACCGCCATGGGCCTTGTTCTCTTCGGTACACGGTGGCGGCCACACCACAAACGCGGTTGATGTGATCTCGCAAGACTACAAGCCCCTCCGATGTACAACAATGGTGCGCTCAAAGCACCGAGTGGTAAGAGGTATGCAAACATCACTAAACACTAGGCCTAAATCTAGAGCAAGTGCATAAGCGGTGGTCTAATCAACCTAAGTACTTCGCAAAGCACCTACGCTAATCATCTAATGAATCACTAAGCACTATGCAAGTGGAGATCACTAAAATGGTGTATTAACACCCTTGGTATGTTTCCTCAGCTCCACTGTACTCAAATGGCCGGTTGGGGGGTCTATTTATAAGCGTCACTGAGAAAGTAGCCGTTGGGGATAAAACCCAGCTTTCTGCTACTGATCGAACGCTGTTGTCCTCCTGACCGGACGCGTCCGGTCGTCCCGATCGTTGAAGCTAGCGCGTTGATCGAACTCAGTGCTGAGTCTGGTCACTGTCGATCGGACGCGTCCGGTCGTGCTAGTGCCGCTCTGGAACTTCTCTAGACTCGATCGGATGCTGCAGTTCCTGCGTCCGGTCGATCACCTCCAGCGTCCGGTCAGTGCTGAGCTATTGTCGCGACAGTGAACGGTGTTATCGTCGCGTCCGGTCACTTAAATCATCAACGTCCGATCGCTGCTGCTGATGCCTGCCGTTGCCGAGCATCTTGATCGGACACGTCCTGGTCGCTATATGGACCGCGTCCGGTCACCTCTGTGAAGCTCGTTTCTTCGCGATCTTGCATCCGGCTTGGTTCCTATCTTCGTGATTAGACTTTGCTTGATATCTTGGGTCTTCTCTTGTGCTTCTAGGGTCTTGCTTAAGGTGTTGATCATCGGATCATCATGTTGCCTTTGTCCAAGTCACGTCTTGCACCTTATTGAACTACAAAATAATTACTTATAAATTCATTAGTCCAATTTGGTTGTGTTGGTCATCAAACACCAAAATCCAAAATAAATGTACCTAGGGCCCATTTTCCTTACAATCTCCCCCTTTTTGGTGATTGATGACAACACGACCAAAACAAGCAAATAATAAAATTTTAGAATTTAAAAACTATTTACTTGCTATGATGCAATGCAAAGGGCAAGGTTATATGATGCTGAAAGATACCACATGTAAACATCTTTGGAAACTTATCTTGCCCTTACAAATGTCCCCATGTGGCATTATGTATTTAAGCCTCCCCCTAACTCCGTAATCCACTATCCTCCCTTTCTCGGACCATTACCACTTGTAAATTATTATGATCGGGCTTGTTTATGGTCCTACAAATTCTTCCCCTTTGAAATCAAACACAAAAAAGGAAGATATTAATAGCACAAGGGAGGGTCAAACTTTGTGATCTTTTGTATGTGGAGTGGAATAGGTCATAAAATTTAACTCTCACATTACATAGACTAAGCTCCCCCTAAATCTATGCATGCATATGATAGAGAATGAAGTTTATACATAATTGGCAAATTAATGCTCGAAGGAGTTTAATCTATATAATGCATGAAGAAAACATATAAATACCAAAGTGAAATCAACATGATGATATCGATTTAGAAATACCACATGTGGAAACCAATTTGATTTATACCACTTACAATAGGTGGTGGATATTTGAAGTATGATGCTTAACTTCGAGGACTTCATTTTCTTTACAATGGGACTACTTCACACATGATAAGCTTAAAAAGGTGTTAGTCTCAAAGCATCCAACTTATAGAGTAACCTCTCCCTAAATTTGTGTACACAAGTATGGAATACTTGTAGAAGACATGCACATTGATTTTAGAATAAAAAATACCACTTGAAAGATAACATCACATGAATGTGAATCATTTTCAAAAATAATATTCGGAAGAAATTATCTACAATTTGAACTTTGGCACATATTAGATGAACAATTGTAAAACAAGCTATGTGCCGTGCTCCTAAATAATTAAACCATGTAGATTTGCTCCAAGGGTTAAGAGTGAAACCGAGCTAGCCTACCATAAGATATACCTAGTGTATGTAAGACATAAGATTAAACATGCAAATGCAAACCTAGACATGAAAAAAAGGAACTATATGCTAATTGAGATAGCAAGAAATTAAATCTAGTTACCTAGCATGAAGAGGGAAATTTAGGTCTATAGTATTCACTAACCCACTTGGTAATTTCCTTGTCCATAATGATGCATCCCATGAAATGCACCTATACTTTGCCAAGTCTCTAAATTCCCCGAAGTCCATCGGACTTCTCACTTTCCTTTCGGGATCCAAACCTTCTTGGTGCTCTTCATGTTGGTAATAATCTCCTTTTTCACCCAAATGTGTTTGTCCCCATTGTTGGCTTCCTTGTTCACCTTAATGGCCACCATCTTGTCATTTTTCTTCTTCTTCAAGAGATAAGGTATGGAGGCCTTTTTGTCCACCTTGTTGATGTAGGTGTTGGAGAGTTTGCTTGTTTACCTTTTGTTTTTCTCTTTCTTCTTTTCTCCTCCTCCATTCTTCACCTCGCACTCATAAGACTTATGGTCTTCCTTGTGGCATATGTATCAAACCACGGTTTGTCCTTCATTAAGCTTTTTCACTCCCTTGACGGTGTTATCTTGATGAAGTTAGGCTTGCTCTGTCTTTTCTTTCACTTGAGTCAAGTTCTTGGTGAGGCAAGCCACTTCTTTCTTGAGTTGCTTATTCTCCATTGTGACCTCTTGTGTGCATGTTTCTACAATAACTTTCTCAACACAAATTTGGTTGCACAAGAATGAGTCTAAACATAAATCATTACAAGAAGTAGAGGCATTCTTTTTAGGCATGTCAAAAATTGAATCTTTCTTTTTAGGTGCCTCGGTGGGGGTTGTACCGATGGCTTCAAGATTAGCAACTTTATTTGTTAGTTTATCACAATGTTTGCACATGGTTTCTATTTTAGCGAGCAAACTTTTATAATCATCTTGTGAGCTATCTAACTTTTTC